CCAAAGTCAGCTTCCACTATGTACAGAAAATGTCCGTTGTTTTTGTTTTTTTTTTTTTAGCAATTTTCAAGTTCAGAGAGATAGATAGTCCTTCCACTTCGTAAAACGCATATCGTTTTTGCTTACAGTCGAAGCAGGTCAAGCGTACCCCCAAGTTTCTATTATTGAATTGATTATTTGAAAAATGAATCCATTAGTCGTTCCGGTAACTAGTGTCAAATTCAAATGGGCTTTCCCTCATACGTAATAGCAGTGAATATTTTACGACAACTTCTCTGTATCCAGTGAGAGAAAATTTTTGAATGGATTAAATTTCTTCAGACTGTTTCTTAGAAGACAATCACATCAAATTTAGGGAAACTGAGCCGGTAGAAATGTCGTAATTGCCTCGCGTGTGAATTCACGGCTTATTACGCATGCGAGAATGCTTAGATGAATCTGAAATCTACAACCACCAACGTATTCAACTTTCGAATAATAAATTCATTAATGGCATCTTGCGGGGTACGCTTGACCTGGCTTGACTGTAAATCGTAGATATATCATTTATTTTCAATATTCCGTTCATGTATTTGTAATTTTGAGGCTAACAAAGTCGCATGAATGAGTTTTATCGACGCTGGTGGGCCAAATGATACCTTTTCTTCTCTCATTCGGAGCTTTTTCAAGGCGCTCCTGCATTTGAATTTGCTGCTCCGGCGGTTATGAATAACTAATAACGTCTACGGTGAATCTATCGTTCAATTCAGGATCACCTTAAGACAAGAATAATTTTGAGCCCATATGGAAATTTTAATCTCGCTACACAGGGGAACTGAAAAAAAAAATGATTGAAATGAATATGTTATGAGTGAAAAAATTTTGCCAAATGAAATATTCATGTTTTTAATAAATCCCCCAACGAGAAGCCTGAAAGCCAAAACTTGATAGTGAAGCATGTGTTTGAATACTTTAAAGAAGAAACGAAAAGGAAGACAAAATGTAGCTCAAACTATGTGTCCGTCTGTGCGTATGTAACTATCGCTAGTTGTAATAACTTGTTTGGTATAGTGTAATAAATAGCTTAACGTAGAAGATTGTAATTTTAAATTATCATGTTTAAAAGAAGTCGATGTACAAGCTGGTATAAGACCCCAAATAAATTAAGCTCTTGTCTTGTCACCTGTATGTATGGGGTACCTTCCAGTCATCAGGGTACTTCGGGTTGGCGTACATAGAGGTTGTACATAGTAGTTGTCCAAAATGACGCCCTCAGCTGCCAGTCTGTTGATGTTTGGAGTATGAATAACAGATCCTTGAAATCCCACATCACTCCAACCCAGATCATCAATTACAGTCAGTACTATGTTAGGAGGCTTGGAACCATTTGCTGTCTCCAAAACGACAGCAATAAAAAGAAAGCAAACCAGAAAAAGCGAAGCATCGATTGTTCATTACAGAAATATGAAACACTCTGGATCTATGCATCAGCGGTAAGTGGTCTCAAGCTCGGAACACGTGACTACCATGTGACTCTTTCTATTTGTCACTCAGAACTACTCTAATTTTTGGCATAATTTGGCAAACCGAGCGTAACTTTTGCCTTTTATCTTAATTTAGCACCGCTAGCATAATCTGGCTTTTTGTTTTGAAGTGGTCAGGCAATTTGTTTTGAAAATACTTCTTTTTACTTATTCTGATGCTGGCTGTTTTTTGTTGTTCGGCGCTTCAGCACCGATTCCTGTAATCACCAAATATTCACGGCTTATTACGCATGCAAGAATGCAGAGATGAATCTGAAATCTACAACCACCAGCGTATTCAACTTTCGCTTAGTGGAGCTTGAAGTTACGGGTTTCACGCCTGGTAACAAATGCAGATTTTAACAAAAAAATTTATGTTTCTCATAATGTATGTTACGGGATCGACTGGCAAAACTGAAGACAGAAGCTCTTGAACAAGCTGGATTTATTTGAAAAGCACAACAAAACAACATTAAGCTTTTTTATGCAAAAAAACAAATACTTCAAATATAATTTAATCCTTTTTAGCGGAGCTCTCTCGCGCGCGAAGCACGCGCAGCGGAGCACCATGGGTAAGAAAATATGGTAAGCTATAAACGCGAGAAATTTTGGTAATCACGTGATCGTCCGACCGTCCGTCAGTCCATATGTCAGCCCCTACATGTAAGTCGTTGTGAAATCTCTCATCCTATCACCCTTGCGTTTTGGCGGTAAATCGCATGACCATCCGGACTTTTAGAGAGGAAAATAAAACAAAGCCGAGTCTTTTTTCGACTAAATTTTAATTATGTTTACACTAAGGGGGATAACAGAGAAAGAGCTAAAGCGAGAGATAAAAGACAAAGGAGACGTATTTCGTTACAAGGACAACATGAAAATTTTATATTGGTGGTGAGAAATTCAAAATGAGAAATGCTAGCGACCAGCTGGGCGAAAATAAGCGGCAGTGAAGATAAAAGCGAACAGGAACAAAAGCAACAAAGTCTTTTTTCAGCACATACACATTTCATCCATAAAACGTGTATTAACTAGGAAGTTTGCCAAGTTTCACGTCGTAGTCGTGCAACAACAACGACAAAGATGATGACTTGCAATTCACTAAGTCAGCGGGCGGTGTGTTCCACTCTGTTATTGATCTAGGAGAAAAGGAAAACTTAAAGACGTCCTTACAAACTCTTGGCATTCTATACTTAAAAGCATGGCTGTTGCGTGTTCTTAATTCACTGTTTGGTATTAAGTGTTCTTCTGTGTTTATGTCTACTTTTCTGTGGCGCCCAACTTTCAAATAAAAGCCACCCTCGAACAAGCGCCCTGTTTAAGGCGTGAACAAATTTAAAAAGCACCACAATGTTCATTCGAGCTACTTAAACCCTGATAACATTTCCCAATTTACATTCACCCTTCCTCATATTATACCCACTGTTTTAGTAAATACCGTAAAATTCCGAAAATAAGCCCGGGGCTTATATTTTTCAAAGGCCCTTTTTTGAGGGGCTTATTTTTGGAGGGACTTATATTCGCAGGGGCTTATCTACGGAGGGGAAGTTGGAAGTAAATTTACTGTTTTTGCTTTGTTTTACGTTGTATTCGAGGGCAATTTTCCAAGTGCAAGCCCCCGGAGGACTTATATTTGAGGGTCGATTTAACGGAGGGTGTTTTGCGTTACCCGTTTGGGGGCTTATATTTGGAGGGGCTTATACATGGAGAGGCTTATTTTCGGAATTTTACGGTATTTGTTAACCTGAGACAATCCCATACTTAACACCTCAAATGCCGTACAAGTTCCTCTTAAATCTCATGTTTATTGGGCTTTCTCGTCCACTGTGCTTCTCCAAGGCGTCCAAATGCCATCCTTCGCGCAACATCCCAAGCCTGGCTGTCTGCGGGCTTGTTTAGAGGGGTTACGGCGCTACGTTTGTAAAACTCCAGTCTCTCTTGCAATTTTTGACGACGTCAGGCAATTTTTGGCTCAAATCATTGTGTTCTGTAGGATCAGCTGTGATATTGTAAAGAGCAACTTCAATAAAACCTTTCACTTGAGAATTTGAAAATGGTAAAAGAGATAACTACTTACATTAAATTTTATGACATGTTTACCTCGCAATTTTGATGTGCGCATATTTCGCGACACTTAAATTTCGGGATTTTCTGAAAATTTTATATTTTGAATCACTTTAATTTCGCATTTTTGAGTACAATAATTTACATTTTACAGGCAATGTCATTTAACATCTCCTTGAATGAAATATAATTCCTTTACCAAAGGAACAACAACGTCAAAAGTAAGAAAAATGCAACAGTGAGACTAGTGTCAACAGTCACCTGACCTGCTCCCAACGCCAGTGGCTCCATAGCTCAATTGGTAGAGCATCGCATTGGTAATCGCGAGGTCACGGGTTGAAACCCCGTTGAAGTCCTGATTTTTTTTTGCAGGCTTCTTTACCCAACTGCATAAATTGCGTTCACTGCGAAGATCACTTCTTCATTTTCATTTCATTTCCGCAGTTCATTTATGATTTATTTCTTATATCCTTAACAGTAACAAAGCAGTTCTCACTATGTCCACAAGCATTTCATGCTTGTACGTGAATTATCGTTCTTGAGTCAATTGACTACAACATCCATTTACACTGAAAATTCCTCAGAAAAATAAAAAAATGTGATCTTGTAAACGTTTCAGTGGTAATAAACTTGTTCTTTCTTAATTATGGACATGATGTCAGTCACTTAATTTTCGCGTCATGTTATGTGCGCGACACTTATTGTTCGCGTCACTTTAATTTCGCCATTTTTGTATCATGAAATTCGTGAAATTAACGTGTCGCGAAAATTTCATGTAATAAGGTGCCCGTCCTTTGTCAACATCAGAACAAATGACAAAAACGGCAATACACGGATTAGTTGCCACCGTACGTTGACCTCGGATGTTACTAAAACGGGGAGCGGGGCCTAAACGAGCACGGAGAAGGGGAAATTGAAAAATCGGAACAATGCAGAGAATATGAAATGAAGTTATTGATAGGGGAGGGTTCAAGGCTAGGGTTTTGTTTCAATGTTTCATTTCGTTCCTCGTGATCGTTCCCCGTTCCCCGTACCCCGTTCCCCGTTCCCCGTTCCCCGTTCCTCGTTTTAGTAACATCCGTTGTCTCCTAACTCAAGGCAAAACAAGAGAGTTTCAATTGTTGGAGATATATCAACTTTTTTCACCCCGTGCATGGCAACGAAAACTTCACACCACCACCTAGAGGACCCTTTTCTCTGTTCATTTTTTCTCTCTGTTTATGACCGTAAAATAGGTACGCCGTCGACATCGCTGATCCTTTCGCTATGCATGACACAGTAAAAACTCGAAAGTAAGCACCCAGTAATTGGCTTTGGGCTTCATGAATTTCTTCGAAACTAAGTGGATAGAGCGGTCACCCAGTGTTTGGGAAGTTATGGATTCGATTCGTGTAGGGAATTGAGATTATGTTCATCAAAAATATTCATGAAAGGCCTTTAGTTACTAACCATTTCTTTGTTATAAAGTTCTGGTGGCTTGAACCAAGTGGAATTCGGACAGCTCACCAATAGCTTCATATCTGCAACACGAATTGCCGCGCCCTGATAATAGGGGTCAATAGACTCCATCCCTCGGTAACGCTTCTCCTTCGGTGCTAAGTCGATGTTCAGGAGAATTTCAGTTCTTGGAGACGGCTTGCCTGTAGAAATTGTCTCCCATACATCAAAGCCGTCTACTGGTACAGGATTATTATCGACTTTTCCTCCTGCAACACGAATTGCTGCGCCCTCATAATCGCCTCGGTAACGCTTCTTCTTTGGTGCTAAGTCGATGTTCAGGAGTATTTCAGTTCTTGGAGATGGCTTGCCTGCAGAAATTGTCTCCCATACATCAAAGCCGTCTACTGGTACAGGATTATTATCGACTTTTCCTCCTAAAAGAATCAAGGTCTTGATTATGTCTTACGTTCGATAAAACTGGATTCACAATATTTTCGTATTTTGTCCTGCTACATCGACGATAGTTAGCCTGCGATCCTACCCTTTCTACATCTTTAATATTTAACAATTATTTTTCGCCCTCATAGCCTCTGAGTCAATAGCACATGAGGCCGAAGGCCGAATGGACTATTGACTCAGAGGCCATGAGGGCGAGAGGAATAATTGTTTTAGTAAAATCCAACTAGTTGGTCAAAAATATCGAGAATAAAAACGTTTAGCTAGTTAAAGCTAGACTTTAATCCTTTTTGTCTTCAAAAGCCCGCGCTCATATAGCCTAGTAGTAGCTCAACCAATCAGAACGCAGCATTGATGATAGACCACTAGTTGGATTTTACTAAATAGATTTAGCCAAGGCCAAAAGCGAAGCACTCGTGAGAACTTTCTAAAATAAAGTTTTTCTGAAGACTTTCTGTGATCACTTGATTACCATAACTGGTCAGCGGAGAACTTTAAAAAACACGTCAACTCAATAAGCTGTACACCCGAGCCCGCATTGCAGTCATGTGACACTTGTCGCCGGATGCCCTATTTTGACTGATGTCAATTGATCATAACATGACTTTCCAATATCAAGTTAAACACAATTCGCATATGCTTTGTAATATACATTAAGACATTTCACATACCGCTAACATGAGGGAGCGACGTATGTAAAAACGGACGATTTTGTCAGAAACAAAATTGGATGCATAGATAACCAAATTTCCTTATTCATGGTGTTCCGCTGCGCGCATCGAGAGCTCCACTATTTAATATGTCTTCCGTGGGCAAACAAAAACGCCTGATCGCAGGTTGGAGGATAGTAGATGTATATTTTTTGCAGTGGTGAAAGGTTTGAACCCAGGAGTCATTTCAAAAGGTAGGTTGAGATTGATCGTCCGGATGAACGTAGTCCTGAATAGGACTGTTGTTGTTGACAGTGACTGACGTTTCGACATCCTGTGCGGTAGTCATCTTCAGAGTCAAAGTGAGTTGTATCACGTCAGTTGATGGTATTGTACTCTGGTTATCGATCTGGTTGGTCAATTACGTCGCGATGTTATTGGTCGTCTGTCAGTTAAGCCGTGATGTTATTGGCTATAAAGACTCGTAATCAGTAATTGCTACGTTTCGATCCGTCTTTTGTCACAGTTAAACAGTCGTCTATTATTAGTTAAATTGTCAGTACTCCAGTCTAGCAAGACTTATAGGGTTGGTTATTTAAACGAAATCTAAGTTAGACCGCAAGTTTAGGAAACCTTCGGACCTCCAGATCTCTTCTTCCTCGGCGGGTTATTTTAAGAGGACAAACGCTTTTCTAGTCTACGCTATATGCTTTCATGACACTGTTGACAATAAATGGTGTTTACATAAAGGGTTCGGCAAACTGGCACTGGCTAAACTCCGTTTAAATAACTGGCCCACAGTGTTTTCGCACTTGGACTGACAATGTCTAACTATTACCACAATTGATAAGTGTAGGATACCAGTCCGTGGAGTGAAGCACTACTCTGCATCCTTTCTTTTGACGCCTCTTTTCTTAAACATTGGCTGATGGACAAAAGCCACCCCTCGGACCCCTCCCTCCCTCCTTCTTACCTGCGAGGTTGATCAGTGTGGGATACCAGTCCGTGGAGGAAGCAATTCTTTACTTTTCACGCCTGTTTTCTTCAGCATTGGCCCATGGACAAATGCCACCCCACGTACTCCTCCCTCCCAGAGACTTCCCTTCTGTCCGCGCAAAGGCCAGTTATAACCTCCTGACTTAGGAAGCCCTCCATTGTCAGTGGTGAAGATGAACAAAGTGTTGTCCCAAAGGCTGCGGTAAAAGGATAATTGATAATGATATCATGCATTTATTTCCTGCCTTCGCTAGTGGTACAGTGCCTATCAATTACGTAGCACATCTTTTTAAATATGCAGAGTATACCGTCGACGATGGCCAGTATAATTGACAATTACTTCAACATTTTCGCAAACGTTTCAGTTTTGGGTCATCAAAAATAGAATATAAAGA